TTATAATATGAATATAATTATTTATGGAGAGCTGATAATAGAGCTAATAATTTAATAAAGAACTCTCATAATAAAAGTACGTTTCCAAGACGGGACCACACAAGGCGGACGAGATGGTTTCTTTTTATTTGTTCAAAAACGAGGTGTATAATATATATATTTTAGGCTTTAGGGATTACTAGGATCAAATGTGGTCGGTCCTATATACCCGTCGAGTGCGGCCGGAAACGGGCTTAATGAATCAAATGGAGACGATTGTGAAATAAGAATAGGTCAACTCAGCTGACAGTTATAGACCAGAGTTATTCAAACTTTATCATCTGGCTGCTCCTTTGTTTGTTTACAATATTTTTACGGCTCCCAAATTATTATAAAGAATTTAATAATACGGATACAATATTATAGCCAATATGGGTGATAATAATAGCGACTTTAATATTAGAAATAAAATTTCAAATAGTCGGGTAATGTTTTTCATTGTCTTCATGGATTTTAAATTATAATTCTATTAATTATACTTGACCTACATTAATTTTGGTTTCTGGTGCTTTATACGTATCTCCCTTCGACAACTCTTTTGACGCCCCTGGCAGCCGCGACGTACAGTTTGAATACCTCTGTTATAGACTATCTATAGTTTTATTATAAGCGTTCCAGTATGGCGCAGAACGTCGGAATTTATCGTTCTTTTGAGAATTGTGGAAATGTGCTGCAAACAATAAACGCGTATATTGTATTGAATTTGTAGGTACCTACTAGTACGTGCTGTATTGACAATATATGTTGATAATATATATAAAACTATTTGGTCATGCCTATAGGAAAAAAGAATATTATAATAATATAATGTGCAGTTAAAATTCGTGTTTATACCCAGTCGCCGTTTATCCACCGTGACATGGCGCCTGTCTGGCCCATGTACAAAAATAAAAGTCAACAAAATACTATACCTATGTCTAAGTACTTCACCTGAGTTGCCACACAGTATTAACACGTTTATAAATTCAAACAATTTCCACTTTTTCAAAACCTTTGTCATGTAAATACCACCGATAGGTTCCTTTATTTTACTTATAATAAAATCTAAATTATGTAGGTATAGATATTATATAGCTGGTTTAATTAAAGTACACTTTTTTGTTTCAATAATTTATTTACTTTTCAATAAACTATTTTGAGTAGAAATGCGTCCATTATAATATTTTTAATTTATTGTAATAAACTACTAATCGCTTTTACTTATATTTAATTCAAGTTATTATTTCGTGTGGAGTGTCATAAAAGTACCTAAGCTATAATATAATTTCTCTCCAAGTAAATACATTATTGAAACAAAATAAGACGTGTACTTAAAATTCAGTTTACTAATCATTTATATGCGATACCAAATCTTTATAGTGCTTAGAGATCTTTTTTTTAACTAGCCGTTTTTTACACAGAGTTTAGCCAAGTGGTATTGTTGTGATATCTAAAACTTTTTAGAAAATTGTCCAGGCAATGAATAGCGGATATCTTCCTCACACACATTCCCCCTCCCCCCTAACTGTTTTCGGTGCAGTAGAACATTTCCCCTGCTATATTTTCCCCATTTTTTTTTTAAAAGTTTACTACTTAGTAATATTATTTTGTTATTTAATATGAAATTATTTTTTTACCACTTTCTATGGTTGTAAAAAGTGTAAAAATGTATCAACCCCCGAAGAAAAATCCTATCTACGTCACTGACCATCGCACCAATACAAATAGTTTTTTGGATGGTCGCATTCACTCGAAAACGAAATTCCTATAGTATAAAAGAATATCGGTGATACACGATTTCGGACGGTAGTTATCAGGTAATCATCTTTTTAATAAGACAATTTTGCGAACGTTTATAGTTTAACAATGGACCCCCGAAAATGACTTCAGTAATAGCATACCCGTTGTTATAGTGTTATATAGTGGAACACTGTGATGGAAAACTGTGAAATTATTCCATCAGAAAGTGGTAAAGAATTAATTCTACACAAAGCAAATAAATACAGATTTAAGAGAGAGCGGAAAGGCAGTTATATAAAATGGTTAGTTACAAATAAAGACTGGAGTGCAAGTATATTAACGGCAAAAAAAAATCGAGCTACAGATATCCGTTCGATAACATTTATAATCGTTGTAGGTGGACTGTGTCGCACAACTTGGCAACGTTTCACCAAATGTTGATCGGAATCTTGTAATTTTTTGGGTACAATATAATACCTTTACTCATACAGTGATCGTCCGCAATCGTGTTTCACCAACCCCCGAAAATACACGATAATAATAACATGGTATACTGTAAAATTCGAGTTTTTACCCGGCCGACGTTAATCCCCGTGTGACATGGCGCCTGTCTGGCCAGTTTACGAACAATAAAACGTCAACGAAATACTATAGTCCAGTCAAATTAGGAAAAAGATCGGAAAAAATTCGCCCCCAACTGAATTTTGGTACACACTTAAAATGTACCTTCCCAATTGACATACTAAAAGTCCTGACGCCTAACCCCTGTGCGTATCTCTCCACCCCCCAAAAAGGGGTGAAATCTACCCTCCCGCTATTTTTCTTATAACTCGTTAACCATTGAACTCACGACAAAAAAGTATAGGACCAAAATTAAAGACCGTAAAATTTACTATAAGAATATAATATTGTAATCACTACAATTTTAAAGTGGTAGTTTTAAGTAAACTTTTTTTTAAAAAAAACTGAATTTTTTTTTTTAAATTTTTTTTCAGCCAAAATTTATAGTTTTAAACGAAAATGACCTATAAGAAAAATGATAGCCCTTTGTTTTTACATAATATACCTTTTTAAATTTTTTTTTTATATTCATTACCATAAGATTTAAGGTAGTTGTTATGTAAGATGCGGCGGTGTTATATCTGTACTGTTGATAATACGAACCAAGTTCGAACATAATGTAAAAATTCACTGAAACCTGAATATTGGCATACACCTACTATATACTTCATTAATGATCATACTTAAAGTTTTGACGCTTACCCTTCGTGCTTACCCTGCTAACCCCCCCCCCCGCCTTCAAAAGGGTGGTTTTACAATGTTTTTACTTATAAATCATTATCCTTGGAACTGACGACCAAAATATATACAACTAAAATTAAAGACTATTACATTTACTATAATATTATAATATTTTGCATACTTAAATGTTTACAAGATAAGTTCAGTTATAAATACAACTTTTATGAAATGTCTTTACAGTTACAATATGTTTATTTACAATATTATTATTTATTAGATTATTATACTAGTAGGTACTACTTAATTCTAGAATTTTTACAGAAAACATTAAAATAAATTTACAATACCATATTATTTACACTAAGTACCAACATTTTTATTTTATTTGGTTCCGGGTGAATTTTGTTTTGCCTGTAACCAAAAAAAAAAAAAAATTGAACGCTATTTAGTATTATAGTTTACAATTATTATATATATAAATTTAAAGTAAATTCATACCTAATTAATTAAGTGGTGCAGTTTTGCACAGCGGTCTTTTTGCATATGTGTGTCTATATATCCATTTCTTTATCGGGTTATTCGTTGTCTTCGTCTATGCTAGTGGTCCATTGTCCATCTTTATACAACTCCACGTCGTCGTCGTCATCATCATCACAAATTAGTTGCTGGTTTAAACACGATGTGCCTTGACAATTTTTACATATTATGGAACATCGCATTCCCGCTTTTTTACAGCCACAATTTTTCTCGCATGATTTAGTGCAAGCACAACTTATAACCGATAGAAGGGAGTCTATTGCTGGTGGTTTCTTTGTAAAGATCGGTATTATTTTTTTATCTACTTTTTCCCAGCCCCAGTCTAACGGATTAAGTATTTTCCCACGCCAAAGTTGTACTTGTAAGTAAACCCTAAACAAATGCTGCCTTGCTGAATCGACTGTTGGAGGGAGTCGAGAAAGTTTGACTTCTTTTTTGCTGGAAGCCACTGTTTTTCGGAATACATCATACCTTTGACAATTTAATGTACTAGTGTTTGCTGGTGCTTTAAATAATTTTAACAAGTACTTTTCTCCCGCACGCAAAATTTCCTCATGTGTAGCTGATTCATTGTTAAAAACTAATAATGAATCGTGTAGTTCTGGATGTGCTTGAACTGTTTTTAAATGTTTAATTTTCCCTTGTTGAAAGATAGCTGACGTTGTATCACACCCACCAATTGCATGTACAAACAAAAAATAAGGAAGTTCAACTTTAAATTGTAGCTGTAAATTTTTTATAGAGGATGATCTAGTTTCCGTACTTCCTTTGCCTGGTTTTTTAAAAATTTTGTCGATTTTGTCGCCGGGTTGGTCGATTTTTCATATGTAATGATTGGAACGGACTCAATGTTACTAATTGTCTCTGCTGTAACTGCCTTTTTCACTTTTTCAATACGTTTATTCCAAAGTACTGCATTTGTTGGTACAACACATTGAATCCCGCCCATTGTGTGAAATGTATTGTAACCATCAAGTGTTGAAATATTGAAATCGGCATTATCGAATACAAATTGTGAAAAACTATTTGGATCAACGTCAGGCTGTGGATATAGCAACGAAGAAGTCTCAAATACATAAACGTCAGTATAAGAAGAACAAAACCCAAAATTAGAAAAAATATCTATTGCACGTTTTGTACCAAAATTTCTATGTAAATATAGACCTAGACCCAACAAAATAGGCGAAATAAATGAGCGAGGTCGGCAAAAACGTATGATGCTGTGTGCTAAAGGTAAGTATTTATTTTCACATTTTTTTTGATCGGATTTTTTTTTTGTACCACAAACATTAGATAAAAATAAAGTTAAACTTTTTGGTACATCGTATGCAGCATTATCCATAAATTTGTTTGGTGAAGGATAAGAATTCAGCTCGTAAACTGTTGACCTTATATCTTCTCTTATGATACAAGCTCCCATTTCTACTATTCTTAACCGTTCTTCGTCCTTATTATTTTTTTTTTTAAGTATACCACGCTTCGGTCAAAATTTTAAATGAAGTATCCTTAAAACTAACAATTGCTTTTTTTCCATGAGTTGTTGTAATAATTAAGTCCTCTCCGTACTTCTCAATCAATTTATTTCTGAAAGTTTTCTCATCACACGTACCATTCATTTTTTCATATAAAAATTGTAATGTAAATTGACACTCGTTTCCAACCTCGATATACTCGCATACATCACTAAACGCCTTTAATGCATCTTCATCTTGCGGACGTCCCCTCTTCTTTTTTTCTTGTGATGATATATTTTTACAAAATTTTCTTTCGCAAGATTTATGATAAATTGCTTCTTCAGCAACTAAACATATAACACTATCTAAACGTTTCAAAACTGTTTTTCCCCATTCATCGTTCCTCATTTTCGCCATATCTTCAACAGATTGTTTAAAATGAAGTGTACAAACATTATAGATAATATCGTGACGTTCCTTACTTTTTTTTAATTCATTCTCTATCGAACATTTTTTATCGCAAAATAAACAATTTTTCTTAAAATTAAATACGTAAGTGGAACGTAATTTACCTTTGACTGGTGACGTCATCATCATCATTGGGGGGGGGGGGGTTAGAAGGGTAAGCACGAAGGGTAAGCGTCAGAACTTTAAGTATGATCATTAATGAAGTATATAGTAGGTGTATGCCAATATTCAGCTTTCGGTGAATTTTTACATTATGTTCGAACTTGGTTCGTATTATCAACCGTACAGATATAACACCGCCGCATCGTACATAACAACCACCTTAAATCTTATGGTAATGAATATAAAAAAAAATAAAAAAAAGAGTATTATGTAAAAACAAAGGGCTATCATTTTTCTTATAGGTCATTTTGGTTTAAAACTATAAATTTTGGCTGAAAAAAAATTTTAAAAAAAATTTAAAAAAAAAAGTTTACTTAAAACTACCACGTTAAAATTGTAGTGATTACAATATTATATTCTTATAGTAAATTTTACGGTCTTTAACTTTAGTCCTATACTTTTTTGTCGTGAGTTCAATGGTTAACGAGTTATAAGAAAAATAGTGGGAGGGTAGATTTCACCCCTTTTTGGGGGGTGGAGAGATACGCACAGGGGTTAGGGGTCATACTTTTAGTATGTCAATTGGGAAGGTACATTTTAAGTGTGTACCAAAATTCAGTTGGGGGCGAATTTTTTCCGATCTTTGTTGATTATTGATCTAATTTGACTGGACTACTATACCTTTAAGTATAATTTACCTAGGTAGTACCTGAGTTGCCATACATTATTAACAAGTTTCTACCATCAGCCGTTTCCATCAAAACAATTTCTCATATTGAAATCTTGAATATACTGCATTAGTTATACTGTAGTTTTAGTTAAAAATTATATTTAATGTATAAGGGCGAATGTAGATAACTCAAACGATTACTACCTTCTTAAAACGTTTTTTAATGTAAACTCAGCCGATATAGGTACGTTATTTTACCTGTGATAAATCTACATTATGTAGATATTATCTAGTACAGCCGTACGGATTTATCATATATATATAAAATGTAATTTATCACACACATAATATATATAATGTAAAATACAGAATGTCTCGTGAGGTTATGCCCATTAGACTTTGGTGCCCCAACAAAAACTGGTTTGTTACTGTTTTACCTATAAACTATAAAAACTAATTGAAAATCATGAGATTAATTAAAATAAAATGGTAAAACGTCAACATTTAAAAAAATAGAATTATATAAAATGGCTATTTTCAACTGTTATTTGTTTCAAAAAACAAAATAAAATTACATTGAATTAAAAAATAAAACACATGTGGTCATTGTCTATGTGAGTCTAATAAAAAACAGATTTATGATAAGCTTGTATATATTGGAATCGAAAAGGAATGGTTTAGTAGTTTCGTTGCTTTTATCATTTTCTTTATGTGTTCTCCTCGTATAGCTGGTGATAATAATAATATTATCCAACCGGAATTTAGATTGAAGAGCATTTGTTTTTTAACTGTTTTTAATACAATATTGTTTTATCCAATGCGATTGGATAATAGCGGTTCCTTAAGTGTATAAGTCACGGACTTCCCTCTTTATTTTTTTTGGCATTTTTTATTCGTACCAAGTTTAATTCTTATAAAACGAAATATATAAAATATAAGAAGTTATTTGGATAACTTTTATGCATCAGATTATGTGGCATTTACATTGGACAACAGACTACCAAGATAATTAGGACAATTTTTATGTTTTATTATTTATCCTGTCGGTCATAATAATTTCGGTAACCAATTTATTGTTATCCACCGTATAGGTACGCCGTTTTATCATGGAATACAGTAAGTTATCAACTATGTGGTAACATTTTGATGGTTAAAAAATTACATATACAAATATAATTTGAGAACATAATATGATACATTGAAATATAACGATCTAAAAAATTATTAATTTAATTTTACTACCCAATGATTACAATAAGTAGTTTTATATTAACTAATTAATTTTAATAAATAAAACAATGTTTCGTTTTCGCAACAATTAGGGGGTGCACCAGGGTACTCGTACACCCCCTCCACAAAAAAAATAAATAAAAATAAAAGCCTTTTTCTATTTACTATTATTTTTTTGAAGTAAAAATTATCAATAAATAAAAAAAATATTGTACTATATATTATTATCTATATTATACTGTATAGTGTACAATGAGGATTATAATATTATAATAGGTAGGTACTTCGCTATTATTATCCCAGCAATAAGTTATAACTTGTAATTTACTTTTTCGAAATATACTTTTAATACTTATTATATGTTGTATAGAACATAATGTAATATTAATAGTCATCGATCGCATTATCTTTATATTTTGTTTTCTTGTTCTGTGTCACTGCTCTATCCTGCAGACATATAATCCAGTATATGAATAAGTAACTATATGATAATGTACTCGCGTCACCGATGTACGTAACTAATATACTTATTTGTGTAACAAAAATCATAAAAAAATTATATTATAAGTAACTCTAAACAAAGGGTAAAGAAACTCTTCTTTATCTACGCAGGCAGAATGCAAGGCTGCCTATTTTATGAAAACGAAATATTTCAATTTTTATGTTATTATGAATATTTTAAATAAATAATAATACCTATAGTACCTACGTAAAAAGAAAGTGGCGGATACATACATTTTGTAGGACGGGAAGGATCAGAAAAATATTAAACCCAGATACCTCCATATTAAAAGAATAAATAAAAAGTGGGTGAGTGGATGTGGCTCTGCTGTACAGTAGGTTACAAGTGAGTCACTGACCTACCTGCTGTATATCCTGTATTATAATGGATTGTATTAAATTTGAATTCAATGATATCATATTATTGTATACGAAAAACGATTCTAAGCGGAGACGGTTTGTCAGACTGCATGTTTTATTTTGTTATTATTTATTATAGCCTGTAAGCTTAATTAATATTATAAATTATTATAACAAAAGAAAAAACAGTTTTTATTATTTTTTTAAATTTAATTTTTTTATTAGATTTTATGTTGATTAACAAAACGTTGGAAATTAAAACATCGTTTTCATAGGTTTTTCCCGTAGCATTTATTGCAACTATTTATAGCAACTATTGAGAAAATCTAAAAATGACCTTTTAAAGTACCATCTTGCTCTAATTTTCTAAAAGATAAGATACTATATGTTGAAATCGAAGCACTTTTTCTGGTAGAAACTTTGTATATAGGATAAAAAAATAAAAATATTAAATATTAAAAAATAAAAATAAACACCATTGTCAATGCAATGAATCTAAAATACAAGAAAGTAACGAAATAGGTCATCTGGTTTCAAGTCATTCTAATTCTAGTTTAAATCAGATAAAGGTATAACTGAAAAAAAATAATTGTGATTGCATTATTGCATATAGGTAATTGATAGATGTCTAAACTAGCAGTATTTTAAATAAATAACATTTACTGGACAGAAAAATCATGTGATTGTTTTGATAACTGTTGTTTGGCTCATATCTAATATAAATGTACATAAATATACATTTGAAATTATTGTTAATATATGTACGGTGTTTTTTTTTTATAATCATATAAAGTTCGAGTTTGACAACATTTATCATATTTAAAATTTAATAATTATTTTGTAGTTAAAAATGTATAGAATGTTCAACTTTTATAGCTAAGGATTGTGAATTTAAAACAACATTATTCGTAAATAGGTAAATATATAAATTACTTTATTCACAATAATATCGTCAACTTAGTATTATCATAGGCTGACTGACCGTTTTCTCTAAGAATCGTTTTTCTTATACAATTATATTATATCATTGAATTCAAATTTAATACCATCCATTGTGACCCACTTGTATTCTACTGTACAGCAGAGTGAATTTTTTTATATTTACTGGCCGATCACATCAAACGATAAAATTTGAATAAAAAATGATACATAACATCGTCTGAAGGCAAAATAAACAACCAATCACGTTCGAAGCTGTGACGGTCGGCTAATATATTGCATTATTATTGTATGATGTGTAATTATGTGTATCACAACTACGTGGTTAGGCGTGTCATATAATATATTATATTGTAATGTTGACGACTAAGTCATTGGCATGCGCAGCCATCAGTTTTTGAACCAATGAGTGCAAAACAATTGACGTCAGCCTTTCCCCACACCCCCTCAAAAACATTACCAAATTATGTCCGATATAAGAATATTTTCGTAACACAAGGCAATTTTCGACTTAATAATATATCAAATACTATAATATTTTGATATCAAGGGTAAGAATGAATATATTTGATTATATTATAAGATACTGTATGCTTAAATAAAAGCACTTTTTCTGGTAGAAACTTTGTATATAAGATAAAAAAATAAAAATAAACACCATTGTAAACGCACTGAATCTAAAATACAAGAAAGTAACGAAATAGGTCATCTGGTTTTAAGTCATTCTAATTCTAGTTTAAATCAACCACTTGTATCTTACTGTACAGCAGAGTGACTTTTTTTATATTTACTTGCTATATAAAATTTGAATAAAAAATGATACATAACGAAGGCAAAATAAACAATCAATCACGTTCGAAGCTGTGACGGGTCGGCTAATATATTACATTAATATTGGATAATGTGTATTTATGTGTATCATAACTACGTGGTTAGGCGTGTCGTATAATATATTATATTGTAATGTTGACGACTAAGTCATTGGCATGCGCAGCCATCGGTTTTTGAACCAATAAGTGCAAAACAATTGACGTCAGGCTTTCCCCACACCCCCTCAAAAACATTACCAAATTATGTCCGATATAAGAATATTTTCGTAACACCCGTCAATTTTCGACGTAATAATATATCAAATACTATAATATTTTGATAGCAAGGGTAAGAATGATTATATTTGACCACAGACATACAATAGGAGGGGTTGAGGGAGACATAGCACCACCTTAAATTGTTTTAGGTACATTTATAAGCTAGAATATATTTCGGGTACCCGAAAAATTATTAGCTATAGCCTCGCCCACCTTCCCACAGTTAAAAATTATTC